TTGTAGAAAGGGAATTCGCTGAAGCTACCAGTGTGTTTGAGCGCTTCGAGGCGGGGCTTGCAGAGGAAGACAGGAAGTGGGTCGAGGAGAGGAGGAAAGAGCTATAAACGCTGGCTGGTCGTGGACCCAGAGTTCTGCATAGATGCCTTTTCTATATTGGATGGACGACTGAACGACTGGTTATTGAAAAGTAGAAAACGAAGAGCACTCATCACCGTCGTTAAATGCTAAGAATATCGGCGCTTGATGACGGTTGACCACTACGCTTTCCTGTATCGGGGATCTTTGGGCTTTCGGTGGCATGGTCTAAATGGAGGACATGTACTACGCAAAACCTTCCTTGAGGCTTCATTCATTGTAAAGATAGTATGAGAAGGAACCAAAATCAGATATTGAAAGGTATCAGCTGGCTGTGGAAGTACGGAGCCTTGCAAGCATCACGTCGCGATTGGCAAGGTCAACATGCCAGTGAATATAACCAAAACTGACACTTCTTTCTCCAGCGCGATACTAGCTCATCCTACTTACAACTCCGATCACATTGGGATTGAGTCCGTTTGGCCTGTCCGGATCAACACAAACATGCCGCCATGTAGTAGCCTGCTTCCGGGGTCTCGACTCCCGGACAGCGTACATCGACGATGTACGCTCTTCAGTGAAGTGCCGCGTTCAAGCAAGAGCGCGAGAGCCAATAATTTCATTGAAAGAAATAAAGTTCTTTTGAGAGCCCAATTCCTGACAAAATTCATCCCACCTCCGTGCTTTGTTTCCAAGATCAACGATGCATCGTGAACGGAGCTACTGCTGTAGTGGTAATGACACAATAAAAGAAAACGTTGCTGTCCTAATTATTGTGATTGAAATATCGACATACCGTGCTCCGTCGAAGGCTGTTGAAGCATAATCCGAAAAGGTGAGTATATATACTCTCAAGAGCTTCTCAATCTCGATGTTTATTTATGCTTACCCCCCGGAGAGATGACGGAGAACCTGACCTACATCCAGAGCGCTCGGTACACTGTCCGGGCCAGCGCTTTTGCAGTGAATAGAAGCGGCCCTACCCAATGCAGTCTTATCTTATTGTCGTTCCACACACCTTCAACAAATAGCTCTTTATATATTTGGGACGTTATTCTCAATCTGGCGAAAGCTCATCGTCATTGGGAGGGCAAAATTCGGATGGCCAACGATCATATACGTCATAACTAGGTTCGTCTCGCGATTGCTTGCCTTCTAAGTTCTCACAGATTATTTTCTCGGCTGACCAAATACCCTCAGATTTGTTGCTAGGCGCGGCATTCTTCCGTGAGATCCTTTTCTTTCCCCTCTGTATTGCCTGGCTTTAAGGCTCAAACTGCTACTAGTTGACACGGCGAACCCCTACTGCAACCTCCTTATCAAACTCCTTCTTGGGGGCTTTTCCCCCTTTTTGTTTCGGACTCTCCTGTTGTGATTTCGAGTCTGGGCCGTCTACCTAGCCAACCGCCGGGTCATCTGGTTCTTGCTTGTTTCGTTCTTCATCGTGACGGCATGTTCTGCGTTCATCCCGCTCGTAACATCAGGTGCCGCTATTCCCGGTACCGATCGCTGCATGATCGTCGACTTGAATGTCCCATTAGCTACGACGTTACTTTTGATCCCACTGGTGAACCACATCCTTGTTTTTCGTATCGAGTGCTCGGTCTGAGAGCCATAGATCACCGGGGAGAGCCCCTTTCCCTAGGATCAGCGCGTATGACCATTGCTTTATCACAAGCTCGGAGATTCAAGTTCTGGCGTGTCGGATTCGGAAGACGTCTTCCTCTCCTTTAAGTTTCCAGAACGGTATTCAATGACGGGCAGATATATATCCTGTGAGTATCCATATCTCAGGGTTTGACAATTTTTTTCGCCCGCACTCTTGTTATGGTGGCAATCTTCCAGAATTCTCATCACCACAACGCTCCTCTCCGTTATTGTCATGGCTATTCACCGTCTCCCAAGCGTTTTTCATGGGATTCTCATCGCACCCTATCTTGTGACCGATAATTGTATGAACGGGTATCTCTTTCGTCATGTTCGTGAGGCCGCAGGACGTGACGGCGTCGAAACTAGCTCAGGGTCTCATGTTGCCGGCCATGATTCAAGTGAAGACTTTGGGCGGCCTGACGTGGCGGTGGCGTTCTGTAGAATGAATGTTCTCCCGCGACCCTCAACTTCGGTTATGGATTTGACAATCTCCTGAATGTGATCGAGGGTAGAACGGTAGTAGCTGATTTGCCTAAATTAACGGCGCAACTCGACGAGCATGTATGCACTTAGACATGATTGGGAGGTTGAAATGCACACTGTACCTCTTATTAATCGCTTTTTTGTCTGTGTACTTCATGGTCCTTCAACCTTGTTGAGTCGCGAGTCCTCGGTAGAAGGCAATGTGACTCGTATGTTGCTGGATTCGTATTGGCACAGAACTTGCATTGTACTCTGGCTTGCTCTTTCGGTCCATGGGCACATGGTGTAGTTGGTTATCACATCCGCTTAGCACAAAGTAATGAGCTGTTGCGGGGGGTGCTGGGTTCAATTCCCAGTGTGTCCAATATGTATAATTTTTCGTTGTGTCTGGACCAAGGACGGTGGCGGCACATCAAGAAGATGACAGTCGCTAAGACGACAAGCCTCAGGTTTCATGGTCTTCAGGAAAAGATTCCCTCATTCTCCTGCATGCCTCAGGGATTTCTGTCCAGTCCAAAAGTTCGCCTTCCATAATCAGGTTCTCTAATAATATACAATGTGTTAAATATGCTACTAAGAATGTCAATGTGAGGCGAGTATTTCTCCACTACCTTCTCTTGGATTACCACAAGACTCGCTTCCCCCGGCAAACACACACTCCGAGACCGTCGTGTCGATGTTCGTGTCGTGGTTGGTGATTTGAAGCATCGAGGAGTTCAATTCCCCCAGACTGCGTACCGCCCGCTCACGAGCAGCCGTTTCCCGTACATGTCGGAACAGGTACCCATTCATACAATTCTCGATCACCAGATGAGGAGGGATTAAGATGTAGTGAACAGCGTCTGGAACGGATTTGATTGACATCAGGATGGCAGTCATGAGTGTGGTTGTTATGAATGTTCTGAGGTGGCAAGTAGAAAAGCAAGTTTTAAGCGTACTTGAACGTAAGAAATTCAATAGCTAGGGGATGAAACCGAGAACGTACAAGATGTATATCTGCCCATCTTTGACCAACGTCCTCGTCAAAAGGGGTAGCCCGTTTCGTCTGGCAATGAATCCTGAAGGTAGGGGAAATCGTTGTCCGTCTTGCTCAGCGCCTTGGGCAGGTTCGGAATATTTGAGCAGTCGATAGGATATAGCAATGAATACAGTGACATGGTTCGCGAGTGGGACCAGCAGCATCACTGTGGCGAAGGGACGATTTAACTTGGTGATCACGCAGTAGTCCGTTCCTGGGATCCTGTCTCCGGAGAGGGCAAGCGGGATGAGGGTCGAGGATGCGGTGACGAGAAGTAGGGAGACGAGAAAGAATAAAATGACTGGACGGCTAGTGATGAATATTGCCCGAACGCGGAAGAACAGCAAGAGAGATTCTGAGGTGACGAAGGCGGGGAAACCGCCGAAGAGCGCTTGGTTGAGGTGGTGACACCGGGAGCCCATAGGGACGACTGGGGATAGGATTTGTCAGGCGGACGTACTCCCAAGAAAAGAGGAGAGCGTACGAAAAAATAGAGCGGTCAAGACAAGTCCTGTAAAGGTGAGGAGTCTAAGTTGAATGGATGAACACACAAGGACGCTCCGAGTAAAATGATGAACACGAAGACCAACCTAGTGAACACATAGACTACTGTTGGCCATCCTATTCTAGCTCCTCCGCTAAGAAGCAGTCGGTAGTCGTCGTAAAGATTGTATATTACATCCCACACGAAGATCTGCCAGTTTGTTTGTCTAGTCAGCGGAACACTTGATAGGATGTTGCGGATATTGCGACTCACAGTGAAAGCGCTGACCACAGAGTACCGAACAATCTGCAGGTACGCTAGTTCCTGTATCTCTTCTTCGGGTGGCGACATACGGGAACTGCTGAGACCCTTGAAGTATATATACTCCCAGAAATGGTTCCTAATAAGTTAAGTAAGATTCCATTCGCACTTTGTCCGTTGACGGGAACCTACTTAATCGGGACGACTAGTATAGCTAAAACGATTCATCCAGCGGCTCAATGAGTCATACATACATACTCACTTTGAATGAGCGTGGGACCTACATAAGCACCCTATCGAGGTCGCTCTTCAGGCACTGTCAAAGCAGGAGTTTGGTGCACAAGTCTATTCAGTAATGATCTCCTTCGAGTTCCCAGCGGCCAATCGCCAAGTTCCCTCTACTCTCTGTCTACTTATTTAGCCTTCCGAAGTACAACGCTACATGCTTTGATGACTGGCATCTGTTTGTTGAGGAATATAGATTGACTTTTTCGTATGTACCCATTGTCAATGGACTGGAGTATGGAACCCGACTAGACCTCCTCATATAAACGATTCTATGACCACTCGTCCACTGATTCAATCTCATTCTTCTTTCCGCTTATCCTCATGCCTCAAAAACCGTTGATATCAAACGTACCAATGACATACCATATTGTGGTCGTGCTTTCCTAAGCCCTCCATTTTCCCGTCATTCATGCCCATATGTGGAGCGTTTGGTTACCCGTTTGAGGGTTAGTAAGTCTGATCGGACTCGTTCTTTACTCGAACTTGAGGACCCCTTAACTTCAGTCATTATGTGGCTACTATGAACATCAGAACGACTCGGACTTACTTATATAAGTAGTCACCAATAGAGTTGTATGAATGCCCGTGTGCCCATGGAGACCATCAGGTACACGATACTCTATCAGTCCCTGGCAAATGCCGATGCTCGACTCGAGCCTATGTGGGGGCCACTCTGGTGTATCCAGTGGTGCTCAACACCGGTTCCGCAATATCGCATCGAATTTCGAAACGACTATAGGCCTGATGGTCTAGTAGTATGATTCCTTGTTAGGGCCGTTCGCCATCTCGAGGAGGTCCCGGGTTCAATTCCCGGTCAGGCCCATTCGCGCAATGATTAACCTTCCACATCATTTTGATCTGTAGGTCCATTCTCCAGCCGGACGCGCGTGGTACGCAAAGGCTTCTTAATCGTTTTGATATGATGCGTGCTCCGTTCGACGTGATTTCGACGGGCTTGGTCATAGTTTTGTGTCGGAATTCGACTTCAAAGCCTGAGGGTCACGGAGCAAAGGCGTGACCATGCCGTGAAGCATTCGAATCGACTCTCGTCACTACGTGACGTGCACTGTATTCTTCAAAGATTACCACCATCATGCCACCGCGCGTTTCATCTCTACTAGAACAACTCTTCGAGGTACTGTAGTGGTACTTGTTTAGGCCCAGTTGGCATTCTGTCGGTACGTCTGTCTGCCCATCTCGTTGTCGAACTGCTACTACCCCGGCGTTTGTCAGGAATCTTAATGAGGTGTAGCTCACTTTGGCTCAGGAGACAGGTTGCCGGGAGGCGAAAGAATTCATCGAGAGGTGTAACTTCACGATCCTTCTGTCAGAATCTGATTTCATCGGCCCCTAGAGAAGCTCCTGTGCATTCTTCACACGTTAATCGGCGCTTTGGGGGACTTGACGGAAATGAGGTGGATGCAATTTGGACCATTCTTGTCAAGGGGTTGGGGTAATCTGAACGTCTATATGGTACTTCGAGAAGGTCATCTAGAATATAGCCGCTGATGAGCCACAGGACTCAAGATTCTCATTGAGGATGGTAACTTGGTCGGGGCAGCAGACGTTAATCGATCCGAGTTCATCTCGTACGACCACCGCAATGACCATGATTCATGAATGTGAACCGCAGAACCTTGGTTCATTGGAATCAAGTGGAACAGAGGATAAAAGGCATTTGATGGAGCTACAAATGTCTGGTACGTAGATTGCTTCCTCGCCTTTGACCTGGGGATACTCGAACCTCCGACTCAATAATGGCAGTGGACAATATTTCCGAAATAGAACTCTAAACGGAGTTTCACAAGCAGGTTCAGGAATCGATCAGGAGGCTAGTTGCCCACCCACTCTAAACTGCCCGCAAAGAGTAGCCATCGCAGCGTCACTGATGGATCGACAGCAGCCGGACGATCAAAGCTTCATCTCCTACTGTTTTGCCCTCCCTTTTCCGGTGCAGCATCAGTGTCCATCAGCGCTTCGGACAGAAACCAAAGTAACAATGATTCCCAGCCAAAATGACCCTGAGAAAGCAAATCACCTTCTCATAGAGTGCGATTTTTTGGTGCTACCATATATATATATATCATTGCTTGGTAATTATAAGAGAACGTGCTCTCAATGTCAACTAGACCATAATCCGATGGCTTCTAAGGACCTCGAAACGATAGAGGAACTCTTCCTCACGGTGCAGAATGTCATCGTAAAACCACTTACCTCACTCTCGGTAAGTCATTCCAAGACCATTTCGTTGACCGTTCTGATTGATGAACGCCGGCAGACCCTTTATCAAGTGTATGGTGAGTCTTCTGTTTCGTAATGATAGTGCGGAAATACCGAGGCATAGACAACAAACAGGGATGTACACTCTCATCTACGGGCTTTGTGTCCGTGTTCTTCATCGAGGCAAGGCTCAGAATGGGTCTAACACGCTCTATATGGCGTGCACCATCTCCTCGTTCGCCTTGGCGAGCTCAAGCGTCGCGTTAGCAACCTATGGCATAATACGACAGTCCATTATCGAGTTTTAGGCTCCGAAGACCCGCGATCTGATTCCGCTTGTCAAGTACTTAAGTTTTGGAGAAGATAAGAGCAAGTTTGCTTGGGCGTGAGTGTCGTCTCCTTGTGATATTCTTTCAGGTTCATGATGTCCGCAATTCCCCATCTCAACCAAATTTATCAATGGCCCCGTCACCAACTTGATGAAGTAAGTACAGCCTAATCGCCTGCCAAGTTTTCTTTCGCGTTGACTATTCCGTTATCAATACACCTTCAATCTCAATAGTGTGCTCGTAGATATCATGCTCGTGAGTGTTTCCCGTCAATGCTGCGTACTCTCATCTGAATGTACCTTCGATGCAGATACACCGGTTCTATGTTCTCTGGGGTACAAAGAGGGTTTTCTTACACCCCCTCGGGTTTGCAGGTTTTGTCCTGAATGGTATGCACACCTTCAGTATCGCCATCTCAACCATCAGCTGCTAACGAATTCGGACTTTCCTATCTGTCAGGCATAGGGCTCGCCGTGTCTATCGTGGAGCCCGTCGGGATGAGTAGCCCGGCCACGAAGCCTCTTTACCTCAAAGCCAAGGAAATGGATCTCTGGTGTTGGACGGTCATGGCTGCGTTCAACAGCTTGTTGACAATCTTGACCAGTAAGTATACAAGACTCCTCGAATAACTTTCTTACTAATGGGGGTCGTAGGCGGGAGGATCTGGTGGATTAGTCGGGAAGCGCGGAAACACATGGGCTTCCAACCCACGAAAAGTATAGGTCGATCGTCGCTATTATGTGAGTCGTTTCGAATCGTCTTCGGTCCTTTACTCCGCACCACTCGGAATCATCACTCAGCTTCCCGTCTAGACTTGGGTCGGGATTGCTGTATCCGACCGCCTTAATGGTAGCAGCGGTGTTGCCGCTCACGCTAGATCCACGACTCTATGGTACCATGGGGCCCGTCGATCTTTTGGCGACTTTGATGTCGGTAAGTGCGACGATCGTGGAACTATTCAGTGAGTCCTGACAAATATGGGGCTTACATCTCATAGGGTTTGGCGCCGACACTGATGGTCGTCCGCGTCGCGTATGGAAAATCTGTGGATAGTGTTCAGCAGATGGTATCCATCCATGTTGTTGAAAGGGAAACTCAACCGGGCCCGAGCATTAGTAGGGGCGGGGCGAGCGTCACAGGCATTCTTTCTTGTCCTCCGAGGAATGAGGTTGCGGAGCTAGATGTAGAGGACTTTAACCCAGAGAAAAAGGAGCGACAGGATGGTTTCGAGGGTTTGAACTAGTGAGCGAGACCACGAAATTCGTCGAATTCATTGACCTAGTACAATCTTGCCTCGAGTGTCACAATTTATCTATTCTTCTTTAGGATGAAACCGGATTGCCGATCAACTAAGAGTGCCCACTTTGTATCTATCCTTTCGCTAATCCACGCTCTTGTGTACAATACCTTGTCCGAACTCGGACGCATCGCCAGCATTTCCTCTTTTTGTTGCATTTCTTTGTGATAACAATGCGGAGATATAAGCATAGACAACATTCAGAAGCACAATCTCCACGAAGATATCCTCGTTATGGATGCGTCTACAATTTCTGAGGTTCGAAATGCATAGGTAGTGCCACTGTACAGCGGCGTTAACGGGCACATGGTGTAGTTGGTTATCACATCCGCTTAGCAGTGGCTTGTGCGGGGGGTGCTGGGTTCAATTCCCAGTGTGTCCAGTACCTGTTTTTTTCCTAGCCCTTTTTGCGTTGGTCATTCCTCCATGATGATTACGCGGTCAATTACTAGTACGTTGATCAACAGGAGTGTGAACTGGGACGGACATTCAAGTTTGAACCAAGCTCGGAATTTTCCCTACTTTGTACGCGGACGAAAGGTGTGACTCGTTGCTATCTGTTTGGTGACTTTTCGTGACACCGTAACGATCTGCATCTCAAAGTTCGTGGGCCATCGTGAATCCCCACGATGCAGCAATTTTCCTCTCTGTCCTGCTCTCGCAATCCTTCCTGGCTGAGCAGAATGAAATCTCCCAACCCTGATGCCAGCCTTCCTCATTCATAATCATGCGTCAATGGACTCATCCGTCAACGGCTCAGATTCAGATATAGGCTGTGATGACCGTCCCTCTGCACCGGGAGAGTCATTTCTTGAAACATTTAGCAAGTATCTCATTTCATCTTATACTCAAGAGTTGGGCTTCTCGCATGCAAGCTGAGCAGAGCGTCTCACATACTCTATCTAGCGCTGCTTGTTTGAAACCGGCTGGGATAGAAGACCTTGATGATTCGTGAGGCGTCGTTGCTGGTTGTATCGCAGAAGGTGAGGAGAGTTCCAAACGCGCATTGGGCGCCTGGTACGTGGTCGTTAACGATGAAGAGTAACATTTTGACCAACATCTCATATAATACAGGTCAATGATGGTGTCTAGACCGCTCACCATCGACTTACAGGTGATGGGGACCTACTACCGGCGAGCCCGCCTTCGATGACATCACTACACGACCAATCGACATCTCTCTTCTCGAAGCTGCGCGATCTAAATGAAGACAACCAAAATGTACCCTCTCGTCACCAGAAACATCGATCCTCAGAGATGCTTATTACACCTCGATGTCAATTGGAGGTTTTCCCTGCGACCTTTCGTTCACTATATCGCCATATTCACATTGCGACTGCTCTTTGACTCGTTTCTGCCGAACCCTCGGTCATCTTATTCTGACTTGCCATAGCAAAGTTTGACGATGTTTTCCGATCTGTCGAGTACAACGCGAACACATCTCAACGACTTGGATTTAGAAGTCTCTCTGAACGGGGTGTGTGGGATTGGAGGAGGGTAAGGGGTGTACTGCGTTGTGGAATCTGGAACGTTGGTTTACCTGCTCCTACGATTATGAACATCAGCTGTCGAGCTTTTTGGGCTACCGTCATGTGGATCTTCAAGCTTCAGGGCGCATGGTTATCCGACGCCCAAACCCTGCTTCTTCCAGCTACTCTGATCTGGTAAACCTGATGCGTACGGTACACCAATGTCACTAGCTTGGAAAGCGTCTTATTTCTCGTCACGGCTCGTAGAATCAAGCCTGTACGTACTTTTTGTATTCCACTGAAATTGAGAGTTGGAGCTCACCACCTCCGATTCCCGAAGTACTCCCATTTTGAATTATTTGTGCGCTCTCGTTATAAATAGTACCATGCGCAGGGCTCGCTTCTACTTTGCCTCTCCGTCACCGTTACGGATTCCTTGGAGTGTGGCGTATCGGTAAATCAGAGCCGAGTAACAGACCTACTTATAAGGCTCCTGGCACATCGCTG